GCAGTATCCACCAGGCAGTACCACACCATGCTTGCTGGTGGTGGGGGGAGAGTAACGCTCTCTGAATGGTCAGCGCCATTGAAGGCAGCAAATAGGTGTCCAGGTATGCCATCAGCAGAGCTTGTTACAATTTCTTCAGTCTTTACCTTCAAATTCATAGCCAGGAATTTGTTGGGCGGCTCAGCCCATCTAGGTGGCAATTGGTCACTCCCATGCCACTCAATGCTCTCTACCTCCAAGAAACTTCTTTTCTGGAGAAGGTCACTTCTTCTAGTCCTTAACTTGCTCAAGAATAAAATAAATTGTGTGGTCTGAACACCAAAACCAGTTGTTAAAGCATTCCAGTCAAAAGGTTTCCGAGCGTCATGTGCAGGGGAGCCCCCTGAGGACTGACCACACTCATCTCCCATGTTAAGAACTGGAACTCCCAGAGAAATAAACAATATGAAGAGAAAATTGCGTATCTGTTTAAGTCTGCTTTCAAGGACAGCATTTTTGTTTGTTGGGCCTTCCACCCCACAGTTCCAGCTTAATTCTGAGGCCAGCTCAGGTCCACTAAAGCTGACCAAATCGACAAGAGAAAGCCCAAAGTTTGTAGCAATATAATTAAAAGAGAATGCAGGGCCACGTCCACTAGAAAAGACATCACCGCTTCCACAAAGCCGCGTGGCCAGGTTGCTTAAAGAACCAGTACCTCTCAAAAAGTCCCTAACATCATTGTGAAATTTAGTGTTCATCTCTGCCCATCTCTTCCAATGAGGGAATATAATTTCTTTCGATGTATTTTCAACAGGGTCCCAAAAATCTGCAATCAGCTTTACATTGGAAAGTAAGGGATCAAAAGCAATGGCCTCAACCAAAGGCGGGCGAGACAGGAGCTCACCGTGGGACCCACTTGTCAAGGAAGAAGCATTGAGAAAACAAAAACCATCAATGTGATACTCTACCACCCAATGGCGGAGACTGTCCAAAATCAGTTGTTGAACAGGAGGGTAATTGCAATTCAATGTAGGTGTAGATTGTGTGTCCTGATCACCTTCAAGACAATAGTAGGAAGATCTATCAATATGCAACAATGATGCACTCTCTGCCGTGTGAGTGAAAACAACCTGAAGAAAAACCTCTATCCCATTGGCATGGACTGTCTTAACCATCTCTTTCATCGCATTTATAACTGATGAAGGATTACCGTTATGTCCCAATGACTGTGCAGGTGAAAAGAAGTGCAGTGGAAAATATGGCCCTTTCTGTTGATCGAAAGGGAAGATAGGGTCTAATAAGATTGCATTGACACCAAGATCCTTGAAATGCTGCAATTTCTCTGTAATACCAGAGAATGTCCCGGCAAGGTGAGTGGGTAACTTACTGGAATCGTCCTTTGTGAAATTATGCACATTCAAATGATAAACTATAAGATTCTCCATTGGTATGTTAGGTCTTATATCATTGCTCCAATCAAATTCAGGTTCCTCGCATAGTTGTCCAAGAAATTTTGGATCTATGACAGACCCTTCCCTGGGAAGAATATATTCACCAATGATCTTCGCATATGGATCTAACAGAAGATCGTGTTCAGTCTTCCCGGCAGTTTCCGCTTTGCAGCGATAACCATAACCCACAAATGGCAACGAACCGTCTATTGAGGCATGCCAAACATGGCCAGTTCGATTTACATAAGGATCTAAATCAAGCTCTAAAGCAGGCTTCTCTTTTCTAACGTCATCATACAAGCACAAGACTACACTCTTAGCACTGCGGGAGAGGAGTGCGAAATTAACAGATCCATCTGAGAGGAAAGATAAACCCATTGGAGCGGGATGACCAGAACTAAACCCAATTGGTATAACAAAGTTTGTCTTTCTGTGGCTTTTGATTTCTATGTTGCTAATTCCAGATGTCATTGAAGACTTCAAGAAGAAAGACATGTAGAAAGGGGCTAAACTGGGTTCAAAATCCAATGCAACTTCAAGATCACCTGAAAGTTCAAACACTGTTTCTATAGTATTCTGAGTATCACATGTCCCAAAACTTTGCGAGTCCAAAGGCATAAAAGAATTGGCATCAGATCTAAATAATCCCCAAACCATAAATAGTTCCTCCGATTGTCCACTGTCAAACTCTAATGATAAAACTTGAACTTTTACAGTATACATACTGCTCCTCTTTTCAACACATACCTTCACTAGACCATTGGTATCGGTTCTGAAGAGGTACTTTGATACTTGTGTTACAGTTTCTATCACAGAAGTATCTGCTGTTGTTGCTGTCGACACTGCATTTAGTCTGCCATGTTTATTAAACACTTTTTGAGTAAAACTTCCGCCCTTGAACCAGAAAACTGTATCTACTGTTACTCTTCCAAGGTGGTAAGAACTAGGGCAAGCAACCGACTTAGATGCCTGAGTATTTCCACGGCGGAGGTAGTGTGGTTGTGGCACGGATAATAAAGGTAGAGTCGCCATTTTGGACTACACGAGATGAGATGTAAGAATAATCAAGCCAAAAAGTAGAAACTTTTTAATCAATCATCTGAAGCTCAATCACTAATCCTGCCTAAATGAAGGTCGGAAAATGAACTTAATTACTTAACAGACATTAGAAAGACATCAAGTAGAGGCCAGACCTCGGGAGAAACCGCATGGCGGACCCAGGAACACTCGGACAGGACACGTCTAGTGGCGACGCCGGGAAGAAAGGTGCAAAATTTGGGCTGTAACTCTTTGTAACAGTGGCGGAGATGCACAGCTGAGTAGCTGACGGAGCAAGGAGCGTGGTTCTGTAATTCAGAAGTTGATTGAGAGGTAAATCCGGTGACTATCAATCATTCTAGTCCCGCTTGTATTTGTATTTTTGTTTTTTGTTTTTTGTTTTTAATTTAGGAACATGTATACATTTTAGGATGTTTTTTGTTTTTAATTTAGGAACATGTATACATTTTAGGATGTTTTTACTTGGAGTGCAATTTGCTGGTCTGGTCTGGTCTAATTTTTTTTATTTTTATAACTACCAAGTGTAGTCTGGTTTGATCTGGTCTGGACTGGTCTAGTCTGGTCTAATTTGAGACAAATTACCGTCCGAGTAAAAACATCCTTAATACAACAAAGTATACCCTTCACACTCCAAGAAAAGGAAATTTTCTTGTCAAGTTAGTAAAAAAACATTATGTATGGAAGATTCTGTCAACACACAATAAATGTATGTCTAAAATTCTGTTGATTTATGTACATAGAGATATATGTATGTGCAAATAAAGTACACAAACTATATCATTAATGTTAATTATGTGTGTAAACTTTACGTGTTTTCAATTAAATTTTGGAAGAATTTGATTTTGCAATGTATATTTTGGGTGATATTGGACTTTGCTTCACATTTTCAAAATCATTAATGTATATACCCATCAGTCCAACAATTGCAAAGAAATGTGATGCAAAATCAAATGATTTTATAGTGAAGTGATGTTGATATATTAATAATTAATAATTTTGAAAATATGATGAAAAGTTTAATATCTCCCAAAAAATATGGATTGCAAAGTCAAATGCCCCTTAAATTTTGTGGACGTACATCGTGAATGAGCTAACTTTACAGACAATTAGGGCCTGTTTACTAACAGAAATATTTCTCTGTTTTCTACTTCTGTTTTTCGTTCTCCAATTTTCTGTTTTTATTTTTCAGTTTTTCTATCTCCAATTTTCTGTTTCTATTTTTTAGTTTTCCATTTTCAAATTTGAAAACATGTTCATCAATTTTTTCACACAGTTCTCCAATTCCACACCCTTGACCCATACCTCTACCCTTACCACGATCTTACACTCTACCCATACTCCACCACAACCCTTCATACCCACCCATACCTACTCGTAGGGGTCAAAGTAGGGAAGTTATGGGTGGGGGTGGGGTAAGGGGTATGGTCGGGGTGGGGTGGTAAGGTCTAGGGGTAGGGGGTTGGGTGGGGGTAGTGGGTGGGTTAGGGTCGTGGTTAGGGTTAAGGGTGGGTTAGGCACTGTAGCATCTGCATTTTCCAAATTTGGAAAACTAGTAAAAGTCACTTCTCCAAATCATTAAGAAAAAGAGAGACATGTTTCATTTTTTCCGTTTTGGAAAACGATTTGATAAACGCGTTTTTCTTTTTTCCTTTCTCTAGTTTTCCATGAATATCTTTGGTAAACACGTTTCCTGTTTTCTGTTTTCCAGTTTTCCAGTTTTCTGGAAAACTGGAAAATATTTCTGTTAGTAAACAGGCCCTTACTATCTCGGACTCTCAGTGTGAGAGTGTGTGCAAAGTACAAGCATCATTTAGATTTTAGTAATCATGTAGTAATCACATACTTCGTATACGTTAAATGTAAAAGAAAAAAGATATGTTTTTCTTTTCTTTATGCTCGCATTACCAATTGCTTTGGCTTAGGACATGATATATTGATATGTTTTGTTAGATTGAATTTGGCGCTTTATCATGATCTCTTCAGTTTATTTTAATCTTTTTCTTATAGTTTGGTCCCACTTTAGACTAAAATATACGAAGTATTATAAAAAAACATGATCTTTTTTAACAAGGAAAACATGATCTTACTTGTAGCGAAAATGTGAAATAGCTCATTTGGTTCATGAATATCTTGTTATAAAATCTTTTTTCTTATGTTTCGACTTTAATCCCTTCATTTTGACGTTGTGATTGAAGCCTTTCATTTATTTCCTTTATGCACTAAAATAAAATACTCCGTATAAAACTACCATTAGAGCAACAATGCCACAAAAAGCTTTAAAATTTTATATTTTCAACCATAAAAAAACTAAAAACACTCCGTCTAACGTAAGGCTCTTCCTTTTTGCTATGGAGATTGCGTAATCAGTTTTATTTAAAAAGGGAAAATCAACATAACAACTTTTTTGGGAGGAAACATTTAGGTGATTGCTATAGTAAAGTCAAACCAGGAAGGTTTGCTTGAGACACAAGGAGCAAATAAGAGAAGAGAGCGAGCTTTCCTTGAGTTGAAGGCATCCGAGCCCCATTACTTTGTGATTCTATCTTTACTTTTCTTCCTTCCTTGTATATTCTCTTAAGTTCCCATTCTCTCTCGATCCCTTGTTTATTACTAATAGGCTTGTATGGCTTGGAAAAAGTAATCATTCTCCATAAAGATATCTCTTTGGCATCTGGGGTTGCTTTCATTTCCTCTTTTCGATCTCCACTTCCCTTTAATCTCCCTTCTGCCCATCTTTCTTTTTGTATGTATTTGTCATTCTTCTCTTAAAAAAGTTACCTTTTGCACACAGTTTTCTCTTTTCACCTTCTCTTCGTCTTATTCTTCTTTTTTCTACCACCACCATCATTTCTGCCATGTTGTGTATTTGATTCTTTGCAACTTCATTTTATGGTTGGAGAGCATCTTTTGGAAAAAGCCTTCACTTTTGTACTTTGATACAGAAAAGAGCTTTTACTTATTTGAAAGGTTGATTTTGTTCCTTTGAGAATCTTGTTTTTCGTCTCTGAGTTATGTGGAGGAAAAGTGTCTTTCAGGTTTAGGATGTAACAATAATAATAATCTTTCTTCTGTATTTGTAACTCAGGACAGATGTTGAGCAAGTTTTGGTTTAGACAGCTTTTGATTTTTTAATTAACTGCTGAGCATATGTTTGGATTGCTTGTGATGGTGAGGAGTTTCTTGTTTCAGGAAATTTGAAGGACTGTTTATCTGGTGAATCATTGGTCTATAAATTAGAAGTTGCTCACCAAGGATGGGTGACCACTTTGTTTTTCTGGTTGATCATCTGCTCACAGAATCAACTCTGGAGGCTGCAATTCAAAGCAGGAACCCGAAACAGGCGGTTCGGTCTGCGGTGGAGGAGGACACAAGACGGGCATGCTTGGATTCCGTAGCGGGCATGCCGCTAAGGAAGATAGTAGAGTGCAGGATTTGTCAAGATGAAGATTTGGCTTCAAATATGGAGACTCCTTGTTCTTGCTGTGGTAGCTTGAAGGTTTGGATTCTACTTTCTTCAATTTGTTCTTGTAAGATATGCACTTCTGTAGTTTTCAAGTAGCCAGCAAATAACTAATTGGCATATGGTTATATGCCATAAGATATGCATCACTCAACTTTGTTTGTTTGAATTCACGACGTAGATTGTACGGTACTCATAAGGTATCACATCTTTGTCCACGTAGACCAATCAAAATATTGTAATTGAATTATTTAAATGAAAAATAAAATAGATATAATGTCTTGACCAATCAAATAAATGATATGTATGATACCTCATTTTTTAATGGGTACCTAGTTCTCACCACTCACGATTTGACATGGGTCTTCAAAGTCGACACTTGACTACTAATATTTAAGATTATAAAATTATAAAGTCTAAGTTAAGTTAATGCTTCAATAATATATTTTAAAAATACAGAAAAATAATTTGATTATCCCAAATTTTTAAGGGGTGTGAGTTAAGTATCCCAAATTTGCACACGCAATAAAAATACCCCGAAGTTTATATAAAATTTATCATAGCAGCATTTAAATATATTTTTCTTTCACAAATGTAAATTTATAGTGTTAAAATATAAAATTAAGAATACCTTGGGCATTTATAAAGATGAAATTAATGTCTAAGCTTCAATGTTTTAAATATACGGAGTATAAATTTAATAAATAAGTTTATAATGTTAATTGTACACAAAAAATGCTTAGAATATTTAAATTATTTACTTGACTCAAAAAATCAAAACATGAACTTGATTGTGGGATGAATGAAGTATAACTTTGATTTATTCCATTCTTTATGAATCTGTGTTTAATCGTACTAAAAAATGTAGTGAAATACATACGTTCTCTCACATATACGAAGTTTTTCATTGGTACATTTAGTTATTTTAGTTATATGATGAAGCGCCTTCTCAATTATGTGAACTCCACGCCCGGGTCCTAGGAACAAAATTGAGAGTAGTTAATCGTCTGCTTTTATTCCCTGCTCAGTTAATCGTCATCCAATATGATGCTCTACAACACATATCTATTCTGCAATTGCTTTACTCCTCTATCCATTTTGTTTTGCTTTCAGTATGCACATAGGGACTGCGTACAAAGGTGGTGCAATGAGAAAGGTGACACAGTGTGTGAGATATGCCGACAGGTAAGCCCTCGGTTTATTTAGTTCTTTCACTCATAGAGAGAACTGGTCTGTAACAATTAGCCCTGCCTATTTGCTAGAGAAGATCGATGGTTTAGTCCAGTAACTTATAAAGTATTTGTGTCCAACTCACTACTAGATATTGTCATCTAACTAATAACTTTGCCCATATTAAGAACTTTTTTACCCTTTACAGTGGAAATTTCTTGTGGCTTTGATTGTTCCAGCAAAAAAGTCCTAATCTGGTCATTTTTTAGTTACAGGCCACCATGTGCACATAAATAGAGTTACAAGACAAATCATAAGCACATAAGTTACATGACTAAAAAAGCAAACTTCTTTATATACTACGGAGTATAAGTTTTCAGTTGCTTTCCTTTTTTGCTACAGAATTTCCAGCCTTGTTATACAGCACCGCCTCCTCAGTTCCGCCCTCGGAATCTGCCTACAAGCTCAAGGTATTTCTACATTATAGAATCTATTTTTATTAAGAAGGAAAGTAACCAACTTTGCATCTTCAACACGCCAAGCTTCACTACAATAGTACATTTGTGTGCATGTTGTTTCTATCAGGGGAAATTGGGGAATTATTACTAGAAGAGAGTTGAGTAATCGTCATCTGGTCGCAGTGGTTCCAAGTGATCAGAATTTCTCCAATTCTGCCTATGATGATTATGCAATCTCTTCATCGAGAAGCATATCATGTTGCCGTTCAATTGCCATTATAGTAAATCTTTCTTTCATCCACAAAGCTAACAGTTCAAAACAAATTTCTACATACCTTTGGTTTTAAGCTTTTTAAGCTGAATGACTTTTATGCCAAGCGAACATTTTCCAGCACTTGCTTTTAACACTACTTACATAAAAGTACACTCAATATCATGTTTACATTTTTTAAACCTTGAAATATAATAATAATTACAGGGGAGTTAATTTTTTAAACATTTGTGTGAGATATTGATCTCAAAGATGTTACTCTTAAGAGTTATTTGCCATTTATCAAGACATGATTCTCATCTTAAGAAGTCAATCTGATATTTTATATTTAGCCAATGTAGATAAACCTTGTACTGTATGTTGGCTTAGTTTCCATGCACCATCCTTATTTGATCACACAATTGTATGCATCTATTAATGGCAAGAAGTAATCAAGTATACACTATCTTTACAGTGTGTGATTCTTCTGGTATTAAGGCACACTCTTCCAATCATAGTTAGTCAAGAAGGGGACTATTCCTCCCCTTTGGTAATGGTAAGATGCAAGCAATGCTACTACAGATGGTTAAGATTTCATAGATTGATGATAGATTATATTCTCAATTTCTTATTTGACATTTCATGCTACAGTTGCTGCTTCTAAGAATCGCTGGGATTGTTCTCCCCGTCTACATTTTATTCAAAGCAGCGACTTCTTATCTCCACCACATTTATCATCAGGTTGATACATCCACAGTTTTGTTTTCTACAAATAAATTTTGAACAACAAAAAGATTTTGTACCATCACCTTCACTTCACTTATTTCCATCATTTGCAATGGACCAAAGGCTCACTATTTTTTGGCTTAGGAATATGATAGAATAAAGCAAAATGGTTCACTAAACTGTCTGCTCTTCTTTGTTGTGAAGTGAAGTAGCAGTCACTTCATGCAACTTTCGACGCGATTTTCACTACGGGTCATCCAGAAAAAGTCTCTTTGTGCTTAAGTACATGGGTAAGACTGCGTACATCCGACCCCCCTTACCCCACCGTAGGTGGGAGCTTTGCGACACTGGGGTGATGATGATGACCTTCACTCACTTAGAGACTTTTTTTGTTCTAGCAGGGACAATTTACTAGTCCCTGCACCGAGACAACTTTGAAAACATAAAATCTACTCTGTGTGATGGTGGTGTAATGTGTACACCATGGCATAACATTATTGATTTTCAAAGGGAAAGCTAATAAACTCACCCTTATTTAATGTTTTTAAATATGCAAAAATACCTTTAGTGTTTCTATAAGAGAACAAACTGCCCTATATTTAACTTAACTGCGTAAACAAAAAAATTAGAAAGTGGCTAAAAATTAATTAATATATTGAGTGACAATGAAATAATGAAACAATTATTTATTTAGGGTCTTAAAAAACTGTAACCCATGTAACAAAATAAAAATTAATTATTTTGTTTTAAAAAACATTAACCTAAATAAAAACAAAAATTTACTGTGTTATTGCTTCTCTTTATTACTTTCATATGACAAAGTTAATAAATAACTATACAAAAAATAAGTTTACTTTTTCATAAAATTATAAAGGGAGTATTTAACCCAGAATATTTTTTATGTGGGTTACGGTTTTTAAAGTAAAATAATGTTTCATTTTATTTTTCCATTTTCCCCACATAATATACTAATTAATTACTTGTAGTGATTTTTCAATATATATATATATATATTTTTTAACAGTCAAAGTCACTAAGGGCCAATTTGCCCTTTGATGGAAACAGTAGGGCCATTTTTGCACCTAAATAATATGCTAAAAATATATATGCACTTGCAAATAAACATTAAGAGGGTATTTGCACAATTTCCCATTTCCAAATGTATTCTTTGTACCTAGTAACATTTTTGCTCAATTCATATGCTTTATATGAACAGGCTAGTATGCCCATTTCTCCTGATGAAGAAGCTGGATACTACTAGCTGGTGGGTGTGTGATCAATATTCATCAACCCTCTTCCTGTATAGCTAATCATTTCTACTGAAACAAGCCAGCTTCCCGCTATTGCACTGAAATGTTTATCTGCTATCAATCATTACTCAGCAGCGCTCTCTTGGACAATATATGGCTTTGGGGTAGAAATTTGTTCTTCAAAGTGGGAAGCATGACTACTATAGATGAAACAGCAGGTTTATGTGTCAGAAATGGAGAAGTCTATTTATAGATCAGATCGTATCAGAAGGAAAAAATAAGTAAGAATAGGTGGATGATGGGTCCTAGGTGTCGTAAAATGGTGATGCAGAAATGTACAGCCTAGCATAGGTGCTAAATCATACGTATTCTTTTGTATATAAAACAAAGCATATCAAATATATGGGCCAAAAGAAATTGTTATTTTAATCCACTGAATACCAAGCTAATCAAACATCAGAGGTGAGACCTTAAAGAACTCAAGTTTAGCCATTGTATATCACTATATCTGTTGCAAGCGATGGAATTCAAACCACACAAGCACACAGCATTCTCACCCAAAGTGACACAAAAAATGATCACATTTGTTTTTGTTGCTTTTTATTATTATTATTATAATTAAGGCTCAACTTTGTTCACAAACACTTGCTTTAAATCCTTTAATCAACCACAAATCAAGTCCAACAGCTATAATCTAATAACTATAGCGAAGCGTAGCGGCCAACCCTGAAAATTCTATAGTGCCACTCTACAACCGCTCCGCTATTTCCGGGACCTCACACCGACATTAATTAGCTGGATTAGCTTCTTCATAAATGTGGTTATATGAGGAGCTATAGGTGAATATAGAAAAAGCCATCAAATGTACAATCAGCATACTATCTTATAGTATATTTTTTTAGTTTGTGAGATTGATTCCTTGTTTGAAGATTCTTGTAATTTGTAATTTGTATGTCTAAAATTACATATAGTGAGTCGATAGACACTGGTGGAAAGGAATATGGTCTAGAAGAGGTCTCCGCCACTCTCAAAAAAGAAGAAGAGGTCTTAGCCCTCACAAAATTTATTGTTATATACTCCGTGTCTATGTGTGTGTGTGTCTATATATATATATATATATATATATATATATATATATATATATATATATATATATATATATATATATATATAATGGGAACTCTTCCGGTAAGGTATACCTTACCGGAGCCTCCGTGCGGCCTCCACGTTTTGAGGGCCTTCCCGGTGGAATTTTTCGATGAAATTTTTTGAGCATGTTCTTCATCAAGTCTAGTACATCCATACCAAATTTCAGCAAAAAATTCAATCGGGAAGGCAGTCAAATGATTTTTAGAAGATAACTGCACCCTTTATATACATATAAAACGCAGTTATCTGAGCATAAGTTTCAAAACCCTTGAGGATAGAAGTTGAGAGCTGATTCTCTCCCTCTTCGTGAGGCTCTTCTATGCTTATACACTATACTCGATTCCTTTGGATTTTTAGATGGATTTGGATAGATATCTGGTTTATTTCGGTTCATCTTAATCGTCAGGTTCTGATTCCGTGCTTGGATTTGAACGTGGAAGACCTATTACAGCCGATTTTGACGCAAAGAATCGCGATTACTGTTCATCGCGAAAACACTGCTCGCAGTGAAATGGAAAGTCCCGTTTCAGGGGACTGAATCTATTTGTGTTGTACTGCTGTATTAAGGTTCAAATCGTTTCTGAATCCTTTCATGAGTTTTGATTTTAGCGTTGTGCGATAGATGACGGCTGAAAAGCCAACTGCGTAAGTTTGAGTTGCTATTGTTACTGTTCTTTGCGCTGAGAGTGGCTTCCTCTTCCATGGCGAGAAAGAAGATACAGGGAACTGGTGAGGCGTCCACAACAAGGATTACTAGGTCCACCTTCTCTGTGTTGGAGGAATTGGACAATGAGTTCCCAGCTCTGGTTGGAACTGCTATGAAGGCAGGGGACGGGAAGACTGTCACAAATGCGGGAGCGGCGGTTGCTCCTGGGAAGCCCGTTTCTGCTTCCAAACCTGGAAGTGCTGCTGAAACTGGGAAGGCCGGTTCTGCTCAGCCTGGACTGGCTACTGCACCAGGGGAGTTGGCTAGCTCAGGGACTGCTACTCCTTGGTCCTCCCTTTTTAAGGACAATCGGGCACCCTCAAATGGCTTTAAATTGAGGTACATCCCACCTAGTGGCACAACCATTGACTTTTCTGATAGAATTATGCCTAGTATGGTTGAAATGTGGGTTTTTTGTCTAGTCGGTTGTTTCACCGGAAAGTTTCCCGGTCTAAAAGCGATTTATGATTTGAAGAACACATGGGGTGTTAAGTGCATTATTAAGCCCCATGATAAGGGTTGGGTTATATTTAAATTTCAAAGTGAAGATGATAGGACAAAAGTGTTGAAAGAGGGACCTTACACCATTTTTGGGAAACTACTTATGTTAAAAGCACTATCGGATGATTTCTCCTTTGATGATGAAGAGTTTCTCAAAGTACCTATTTGGGTTAAATTCCCTAACTTACACTTGAAACTTTGGAATGAGGATGCTTTGAGTGAGATTGCATCCATGGTTGGTGTCCCATTGGCTACGGACAAAGTCACACATGATAGGTCTAATCACCACTTTGCTAGAGTGCTTATTGAAGTGGATATTTCGAAGCCACCGCCACTTTCATTTTCTATTCGACTACCATCCCGGAAGGTAGTTAAACAATTTGTGGTGTATGAAACATTTCCAAATTTTTGCTTCCATTGTAAGATATATGGGCACCACCCGTTTACTTGCAATAAGCTAGCAAAAAAGGACGATGATACGGTGAAATCAAGTGAGAAAGGTGAAGATGAACAAATACAAATTGGGGGAGAGGAAAACATACCTGCGTAGATTGTGGAAGTTGAACCCGCTGCCCAACTGGCAGAATCTGCCCAGGAGGTCCACCCGCCCGGGCCAAGCCCTAACCCGACCGGGTCTCATGAAAAAATGATTGTCCAGGGTCTTAACCCGACCGGGCCAGCCACAAACCCGACCGGGTTTAAACGGCAGTCTGATTCCCAGGTTGTCCAGAGGTCTCCAGAAGTTGCGATAAGCTCCAATGAACAATCCGTGGCCGCTTTGGAAGATATTGAGAGGGTAGTTACGGATGAGAATGATTTGCACCAACATGATGTCGTCATCAAATGTGAGATGGTTAACGGTAAGACACTCAAGTTGGTTGTCAAACCGTTTAGATTTGTGCGGGCTGATGTGATTCGAGTGGATACTTCCCTTCGACTCACGCACAATTTGGATAAAAAAGGCTTAACTTTCACCGCAAGATGTCTTGAGGGATTACCGGGAGTTACAAAGAAGAAAGGGGAGGTTTGTTTTGATGCTAAATTCACTACTCCTTTCCGGGCTTTCTTTGGATGTTTAGATTAGGAACTTGTTTGATTTTAATTGGTCCAAATCTTGAATTTGAGAGACTATTTGTAACATTAATTTGTGAGGTGGGGTCTGTCCCATTATTTTGATGCATTATATCTAGGTTAGTTTATTCTAGCTTAGATAGTCATTTTGACTTGGATTTGATGCATTGTAAAATGCTATTTTTCGATTTCTAATATACTTACATGTTATCGGAAAAAAAAAACGCAGTTATCTTTCAAAAATCGTTTGGCTGCCTTCCCGATTGAATTTTTTGCTGAAATTTAGTATGGATGTACTAGACTTGCTGACGAACATTCTCAAAAAAATTCATCGAAAAATTCCACCGGGAAGGCCCTGAAAATGTGGAGGCCGCACGGCGGCTCCGGTAAGGTATACCTTACCGGAAAGTTTTCCTATATATATATATATATATATATATATATATATATATGCATATACACATATATATAGAGTAATCTTCCGGTCAGGAATTTCCTGACCGGAGCGCCGTCCGGCCTCCTCCTTTTGGGGGCCTTCCCGGTGGTATTTTTTGTTTGTGTATGTTCCTCATCAAGTCTAGTTCATCCATACCAAATTTCAGCAAAAATTCAATTGGGAAGGTCGTCAAATGATTTTTGCAAGTTAACTGGTCCGGAAAATACATATTTCGTACTGGTAATGCTAGAAAAGTGCATCCCAATTATTCTAATGTCCTCAGCTAAGAGTCCCTGCGATGAACAACTAGATCCCTTGATAATTTCTGAAATAACATGTGAAGAATCGGATTCAACGGCAACGAACTGCCACACTTGCTTCTTCATCAAATTAAGAACATCTCCAATGCAAGGGTGTGGTAATCCAAGTTCAAAAAAATGTTATTAAGTTCAAAATAGAATTGTTGATTCCAAAGACAATTCGCTGGGAAAGCAAAATCCTAAAAACCCTCTAACATCAGTATGTTTTTACTGCTATTAGAGGGTTATTAGGATTTTGTTTTCCGAGCCAATTGTATTGATAGCAACTATGTCATAGACAAGCTATGTTATACATGCAAGCTTAAGAGTTTGAAGCGATCTTATAAAAGCTTTTAACATATTTATGTTGCCGGTGTGGGAATTATTTAAATATAATAAAGCTACTTGAGAAAATAGAAAAAAGTGTCAACATGTTAAAGTACTGCTAGTCATAGAAAGATCGGTAAGATAGCAATTAGACCAAAAAGATAATATATAAAGTAATTCAAACTAAAAGGTTAGAAGTTTTGCCAAAAGTACAAAAACATAGAGTACTAAGGAGCTAATTTTTTATTTTAATTTCAATGTTTTGACTTTTGTGTTTGATATAAAAGTCAAACATATAAGTGCTCTAAAAAATTATTTATTTATTTTGTGCTATTGTAAATTGTGTAAAACGGAGGTTAAATATTATTAATATATAAAAATCTCATCGTGTGAAGGTGCTCTAAATATATTTAGAAACTATCAATATATTTAATTGTACACGAATACATATTATAAAAAATATGATTAAATATCATATGACATAATTTCACTGTTATATTTAATACGGAGTAGTACACAACTTTTACAATTTTGATATTGGTTTAAAGACTTTTTTTCTAGCAAAATCAACTTAACTAGCATTAATCAAATTATGATGAAGCACATGGGTAAAAAAATCAGGCAGATTACAGAGCCAGATACGACGATCATACACAAAACAAGTCACCCTTGCTAAGATATGAGCGGCCTCATTCATAGAATGTCTAACAAGAGAGTAGGTAATGCTAGCAAAATGCATCCCAATTATTCTAATATCCTCAGCTAAGAGTCCCTGTGATGAACAACTAGATCCCTTGATAATTTCTGAAATTGCATGTGAAGAATCGGATTCAACTTCAACGAACTGCCACGCTTGCTCCATCAAATTAAGAACATCTTCAATGCAAGGGTGTGGTCTCTCACACACTCTTACACACGAGTCCCATTTTTTATCTCATAATTTTTTATGTGTAGGACCCTACATATTTTCAAATTTATTTTCTTTTTCTTTTTCATTTTT